CCACACCTACCTGTCACATTTTCTCTTTCAGGATTTGTTAATAGTTCTCTCTTACATTTAATTATATATTACTTATAATCAATGGAAAGCCAAGATTTTCATATAACAAATACAGAGAAATGTCGATTTCTCTTTTAGTACAAGCTTTGTTCCCATGGGAAAGATAATGACTTGCTTGGATTAATTTGTAACAGCTTTTGTTGCATAGCTAGAAAGCCAGAAAAATTATGATAGTTAGAGGAAACTGTCTGCTTTTTGCATGTTTTTATTCTATGTTTTTAGTGCATTATTTAATTAAATAAAATTATTTTGTGCATTACTACCATTAGTATAAAAAAAGTAAAGTGTCATCGACAGTCGACAGCAAAAACAAGAAGACACAGGTAAATACTTTATTTCTTGTTTATTCTTTCTTTATCATTATAAAAGTAACTAAAATATAAAAATATGGATCTCTTTAGGTAGCTAAGGTTAGATTAGGTAAAATAAATAATAATATAATGAAAATATTTCATGAGGCATGCACACAAGGAACTTGGAGTAGCCCATGGTTAATGTAATTCGATAGTGTAACATGAGCTGCACGTTCCCCAAGTGATTTACAACTTACAATGGCACAAATAGTAGTTAGACACAGTTCAAAGGGCAATAAAGCAATAAAATTTTATTATAAATAGATGTATACTGTTATGAGTTTAAAGCTACTTTTAGGATAAACGAATGTAGTTTCGTGTTACATTTGAAGTCATTCTAGAAAGAAAGTGAGGGTAATTTAGATTTATTTAGATTTTTTTTTTGGGTGGTAATGAGGTAGGTCAAATTGACCAACGTTGTATAGAGTTAGGGTAGAGAAAATAACAGATAAAATGTAAAGTTTTACTGAAAACAAACATTTAAAATGTAATTAGGAAGTATTTAAGCATTTTTAATCTTAACATGAAAATCACTTTGCACACTGACTATTCAAAACAAATACTCTATATATTCATGGACAAATCTTTTTTGTAGTTTATTAAAAATACTTCACTAAAAAATATGATTTTTTGTATGTGAAAAATTTACACTGTTTATTGAAAGATTGCCAAATTTCATTAAGATATACACACTATTAAAAGTTAATAGTATCAGATTTATAAAGACTTTGAACAAGTAAAAAGAGGTCACATTGTTGGTCAAATTGACCGAGCCCATATTGAGAGAGTTAAAGTAACATAAAGTGTACATATTTCTATTTTGTATCAATGTCAAGATGGATCACCCATTTATTATTGCATTTGACTATGTAATAGTCATGTTCACCTTGCAGCTTAATCATTCATTGTTTTCTCTACAAAAGATCAATATAAAATGATAACATGTTAAATATAAATGTTACTTTAACTTCATATTTGTCAAGGGAGGTTCAAAGTGATTCTTTTGCCCAGTTTTAGATTGAGTTGAGACTATAACAGTGTATTAGAGAATAAAATATAAGAGCCATAAATTTCAATTATTTTACCAATTTTAGAGTATTGTATTTTCTTTTATAACAGAAAAAAAAGATTAGATTTTGGAGGCCATTCATAAAGTTACAGAGAAAGGCAAAAATAAACTCTCAGTTCAGAAATGCAAAACATGAAAAAGAGATGTTTTTACATATTTTTAAACCTTTTACTTATACAAATTCCTAGAAAATGCTTTACATTTTGTATTAATTGCATGTTAATTATTTTTTCAATAATGAAACAAAATACACCTTTGCTTCAATACAACAAGATTGTTCAATGCATGCCTTAAAATTTTTCTAAAAAGGAGGTCACTGTATAGATAATTTGACCGTAAAGAATCACCCCATCCACTTGTTTTGCATGATAACATGGTATTCATAACTTGCCTTGATTAGTTGGGTGGTATCTGTTTATGAATCGATTGATGACTTTGATTTGGTTTGTATGTTAAATTATTATAACCTAAGTGAATTAATTTTAATTTATGCTGTTAAACTGTTAATTTAAAGCTATTTAGTAATTTTGGTTCCACATTCCGATCTTTGTTACACAGTGGCTACATGAAATTCATGCATCATGAAAATCGTTCTTCTACTTTTTAACTTATTCAAAATTCTGTTTTCTATGTAAATGTGTTTTAAGTTTATGTGTTAAACATTTTCATATTTTTATTGAAAATAATATTAATAACTATTAACAAATGTTAATAGTGAAGAAGTTAGTTGAAACTTCATGCGTTCAATGAAAAATGTGAATCAAATAATAACAAAATGCATTGCATTGTGTCTTACGGAAGGAATGAAGTCATTGCATGCTACACTAGAGCTAGCAAGTCCTATGTCAACAGTTCATAAAACTCATTTGTGAAATTAGTAAATATGATTTGAGAAACAATAAAATTTAAAATCATTAAAAATGGAATGAACATTAAACAAAATCTTAATTTTTTCTTTTCCTTTCAAAAAGGCTGAAAAGAGTAATGTTGTATTGAGTTGAGTCAGAGGTGCACATGTGACATGTTTTTTTGAAATGATTATATTAGTGTTTAAGTGCAGTAAAATACCTACTCATACACTAAGGATAAAGAGTTACTTTATAATAAAAAAATGCATGGATACATCAATGGTTTTGTTTTTTGTGATAGAACTTTGAGTTACCAGACTGTTTTTCTCCTGAACTGAAGTCCTTGTTAGAGGGACTGTTACACAGAGAGATAGACCATAGGCTGGGATGTAAAGGCAAAGGGTAAGTGGTAAAACTAAGAAAATCTGATACATAAAGAAGGATTCAGACAAGACCCTAGAATATAACCACAGAGGGTTACTGTTAAATTAACAGTGTTCTTAGAAAGTGTTATAAACCTTAGGCTCATGTATGAGAAAGAGAGACTGTTTAGAGAGTTTGTTATAAATTACGATAGACAAGGCTAAGAATGCAAAAACAGAGGGTATTTGTGCACATTAGGAGATTTAGATTGACTGGAAGCTATAGTGTGAAAGCAAATTTTACAGAGTGAGATAGACCTGAGGTTGTAAGAAAATTAAAAACATATGTCTTAAAAAGTAAAACCTTATGGTGGAAGATAAACTGGATGCTAATATTTAATGGCATAGGATGATTTTGTACAAAGCAATCTTTTACAAAAGAAATATCAAATGGTAGGATATAAAAGCAGAGATGGAACAGTAACAATAGGTTATTACAGAGACACAAGAAGGCTTATGAATGTTTCTATGTTTTTATCTAGATCTGAGGAGGTTAAGGAGCATGCATTTTTTAAAGGGATAGATTGGCCATTAGTATACCTACAGAAATATTCCCCTCCACTCCTTCCTCCAAGGGGTGAAGTGAATGCTGCTGATGCATTTGATATAGGTTCATTTGATGAAGAGGACACACGAGGAATCAAGGTGAGTGCTGAATAAGATGATGACTGTGGTTGGTACTGTATTATATATACCTCCTTTTCTCTGTTTGATTTATTTCTTGATTCCCAGTGCTTAACCCTACTGAGATGGGTCTGACGAGTCTTCCTGTGGTCATGGGTCAAAAAAGGCCATGCCATCATGTTTGTAGACTTACATTCAGAATTTATTAATCTACTATTTTATGAATGTATATCAATAAGTTTGGTATCAAATTGTTAATTATAATTCAAGTTTTAGTATTATACATTCATTAATTTATTAATTTAAAAGTAAATGTTGAAAAATATCCCTAAATATTGGTTTTTGTGTGTCATGTCATCTGTTGAATGCAGCATTTGTTCAGATTTGATGTTTATGATGTCCAAATACAAAAATCTATAGTTGCTTATAAATTAGGAACTCAAATTACCGATATTGACCAGCTAGAATATAAAATAAGAACCTACTATCTTTTCTATTTGCTGAGATATTGCTACATTTAGTGAATCAAACACAGTGGCTCCACCCACCTATTTCCATTTTTGGAAACACTTGCTTATGTACACCTATTTCTGTCTATGACATGTGAATAACCAATCGAAAGAATGTCCCCCATTTGGTTCTCTGAGCCTTCGCAAAGTATGTATGTGAGAAACACTTACTTTTTATAGCAGATTCCAGATTATTGAGCTTGAAAAATCATATTTTTTTGTACCCAAATACAGCTTAGGTACTAAGCCTGATAAATTATAGTGTGGTATTTATATAGTAATTTGTGATTTTTTGTTATTTCAAAATACATATATAAAAACCTAAAAAAGATTTTGTTTTACATTCTCCACGTGCAAAATTTGATAAGGCTTAGTAAATTATGGCAAACTGCAAACGAGTATGAAGTTCATAACAAGAAGAAATAATTGTTTTCTATACTTCTATATTCATTGTTCTATGTTTTAAGAAAAATAACTGAAATTTAAGAACTTATTTATAAATATTAATAATGTATATGAATATTTAATGTGTTATAACTGAAATGTGACTGTATTTTGCAAAATACTGGTCCACTAGAACACACTCAAGACAAGTCACTTTGTAAAGGCCAGTTTTATATTATTGGAAATGGTAACATGAGTGCATGTGCTCCTTGTCATTCAACTTAGGTAATGTTAATCAGACACTGTTGAAAGGTCAATAAAATAAAGATAATAGATATATATAAATGTAAAATGTTATGAGATCTAAGCTATTTAGACTACACATTTGAGGTTTTGTGTTAGAATTTGTAGTAATTCTAGAACAAAAAAAAGCTTAATTTATATCTGTTTCCTATTTGTTTATGGTTGGTATGAGGTTGGCAGAATTGACCAAACCCATACAAAGACAAAATAGTGAAAATAACAGATAAAATATAAAGTTTTTTTCTAATAAAAACGTTTGATAATTATCTGGAGGACATTAGGGTGTTATGGAGATTACGCTTGTGAAATTTGACAATTATTTGATTCATAAAAGTATTTTTAATCTTAAAATCAAAGTTTCTTTGCATGTTGGATAGTCAATATTCAAAAATTAAAAATGCATGAGCAAATAATTAATTAAAAAATCTGATACTTTGTATACCAATACCTTGTAATATTTACCGATAATCTGCAAAATTTCGTGAAGATACATGTACATTTTAAAAAGTTACAGTACAACTTATTTATGGTTACTTTTGGGAATACAGGCTGGGTGGAATCCACCCACTCATATTAGAAGGGTTAATAGTGTTTGTTTGAATTATGGACTTGTTTTAAAACCTTTTTCTATATCATTCAGTAAATCAACAACTTAATTATTTTATAAATATTTTTAGGTATACGTATGACTTCAATGCCTAAGGTCACTTGAGTATTTAAGAAGTTTAATATGCTTGTAATTTTAAAAATTTACATCCTACAAATGTAATATTTATGAGAAGTCATTTCCTATACCAACATTTAAACAGTAATTAATTACTAAATTTCATAAGCCTCTTTTCTCATAAATTTTCTTTCAGTCATCTATTTTAATACCTATGCATAATCTTATTTCTTTCTATTTGTAATTCATTATAGTGTGTGCATAGAATTAAATAGTTTATAAAAAATTAATTACTCTTTAGAGTTGGGTGAATAGTGGAATTTGTTGATCAATTAATCATCAGGCTTATTAATTAATTACACTCAACTGATTTATTATTCATACATGATATTAATTTTCAGTTTGTTTTGTCTTTTTAAAGAATTTAATGCCACCTAAACTTTTGTGGGATAAAATTAGTAAAGATTCTTGTCATAATGTGTGATAGGGAATGTATAATTCAGTGAAAATGAATTCATGCTATCTTAGACAATAAAATGTTTACTATTTGGCAAGAAAACTTGTGATGATACTAAATGACCTCTTTGCAGAGATTAGAATTATTCATAAGGTAGAAAAGATGAAAGAAATATTAAAAATCACTGTACTTAAAAAAATAATTTATTACAAACACTTCGGAATTTTTTTCTAATTCTATCATTAACTACTTTATAAGAATAAAAAACATCACAAGATTTTAAGCAAGTTCTTGTTGATGTGACTAACATCTTTACAATACAGACTGGAAGAAACTGCAGAAATGGATGAGTTCTGAGAAATCAGTCAATCAAACAACTTCAAGCTTACTGTACTAGGAATTGGTTTAGTGACTGATGATGACAGATTTTTCAGTGCTTCCTATCTAGCTAGGGCTAATCATGATTAAACAGGGGTTCTGTTAATGTAAATAGGTTAATGACTTGATGGTATTAAGTATTGTTAGACTGTTATTAGTCCATGTCTAATAATTTCTGACAAACACAGATAATTGAACAAGTTATTCAGCAATTTTTTTTTGATCAAATAAAAGATAGTGAATATTAACTTGTTATTGCTTTTTTATTGAAGCAGTCTTACCTTAAGTAACACTGGTTACATTTGTAGCTTCTAATAAATAAGCAGTATATTAACCGTATGTGCATGGGTGGGACTCAAACTGCATATGCCATGACCTTTTACAGAGTGCCATTTAACATGGTATTATGTATGTGATCTCAGACTTATCAACTCATTTTTGTCTACATTGCTGATTTAGCAACATTTTGTGATAGAGGAGAGTAAATACCAGGTACAACATACAAGGATACTGAAAAAATTGTAGATATGCATTTTGGAGGTATTAGAGGTTATGCAATTGTAATATGCAAACTGTACAGTGGACAAAAGTATGTTTAATTGTCTTGTGAATATCACCTTGCACATGGACTGACATTGGCAGTCCATAGACTTATCTTGAGTACAGATGCTTTTGTAACACATTGGAACTTTTATGTACATCCAACTTGTACATTTTAGTAAAAGCCTGACATTTCTTGTACATATACACAGTAAGTTTGGCATCATAGTCAGTATTCCTTTCCCAATACAGAGTCAGTCTAATGGACTGATCATGTGCATATTGAGTTAATTTAAAGCTACACTATTATTTATGCGAACAAGGTGACAAAAAAATAGTAATAGATAATATTTCTGTTACTTGGATAGCTAGAACTAAAAATAGTAATAAATAGAAACTTATTTTGATTATTTTTGTGAGTCATGATACTAATTTATTAAGCTGAGCAATTTTTAATTTATCAAAAATAATAAGGGGAAATCATAATGGTAGTATTTTGATTGCTTGGATAGTTGGAATTACTTGAGTCTAGTCTCTGTAGCTACCTGAGAAAATTATTTATTTTGAAAGATTCCTCAGACTACCTGCAAGTTTCTTTGTCTGACTTCATAGATATTTGTAAATAATTTCTGTAGAATTTATAGTTAGCTACCATTGTTTTTCAGTCTTTCTAGATAGACGTAAACTTTATTAAATCCTCAGACTGATCTATTAAACTATTAATCATATTTTCAAATTTTCTAGCTATAAAATAGTGTTGGTTTTTGTACTTTATTGTTAACTAAACATATTTTGATACACATTACCTTCATTGACCAGTTTTTCACATTATCTGATGTCATTTGTTGTCAAGCTTTTGTACAGTGCATGTGAGACCTTTTTACCTATGAGCATGCTCAGTATATATTCCATGTGCAGTAGGAATGCCTACTGGCTAGTAATAGTGTGATATGCATACATATTGTTTTTTACCTGCTTTAGTAATATAGGAATTTTTTAATTGTTTGTTTATGTTTCCAATGCAGTGGTACAGAAAACGTTAGAGTTGCCCTGTTTCTTTTTTCACTGTAGTACATAATGTCTATTCTGCCTGAGTGGGTATTGCAATAATATATCATCCATGTTGAAAAGGGATTGTAATATTGTTTGCTGGTCAAATTGACATATCTGTGTGTAACAGCTGGCCACTGCTTTGAGAGAAGAAAAGTCATGAAGTGACACTGTTGGCTTGACAAAGAAACTGAGTTTACCTATTGAATTTAAGCTTGCTTTCTTAATTCAGTTCTACAAAGAGTTCTTCATAGAAAGACCATACTTTAAGATCATTGTGCTCTAGATCTATGGAAATAAATCCTGAGAGAATGGAAGCTGTGGCACTAAACTCTACCTAGTAGAATATCAACTGTGGTGTTTTATCTATGTAAGTGCTTATGTTGTTTTATTTTTTTCTCTGGTTGTATTAAACATTGTGTTTGTTTGATTCAAGATTGGTCCAATCTCATTATTTCACACACAAGAAAACTCAGTCAAGTTTCCGAATACTAACTACTCAAAAATTTTGTGATCAAATCTGCTGTTATTTGTGAATCTCTCTGTTACTTATAGAGAAATTAGTTCACCTGAAAATACCCTAAGTAATCAGAAAAGCAAAATTTTAGTGGCATGACAACAGGAACTATATCAGAGTTTCTGTTTTCATAATGTGCATACCATCCCAGCTCAAACCCTTGTGTTTATTGAGTTTGAAGGAACTCTTTTGAATTAAAAATAGCATATTCACAAAACAGCAGTAGTTACAATTAAGAGGAAGAGATTGGAATGAGTAGGGATCCTATGAGAGAGATACTTTGGTCAGCTGCACAGTTATCCATGAGTACCTCCAAATAAATCATGCCCTCATTGTTCAGGAAGATGAAAAAAGAGGACCTAAAGCATTTCAGGTGGGTAACTTCCTGGGATGGATGGACTCTGGAACAGGCTGTTCAATGTCTGGTCCTGTGCTTAGATGGTCTAGCCGTCAATGCTAGTGAACACCTGGATGAGGAGCAGTAGGATGACTGGGAGACAGTCATATATGAGTTGCATTGCTGATTCGACTCGATTGGGCCAAGCTTAAAGCTTGGAGAAGGATTGGCACCAAGGAACTGGACATCCTACATGGATGAGTTACATCAATTGCATGAGAATGCATACCTGGCAAATGCCTTTGCAGATTGGGAAGATATCCTGGTCGATAATCTATCGAGGGACTCCCCCATTGAGTTAATGTGACAACACTTGGAAATAAGGGATATCCTGATGCTCATGGAAGCAAAATCCATCACGACATTCCTTGAAGTGATTACTTCAAAGCAGCATTAGAAAGGAAGAAGCCTGCAGTGGCATCTGTAGTAGCAATTCCGTTGTGTTGGGCTTGTCCCATTCAAAGGGATAACAACCTTTCCTCTATGAATTTGAGCACTGTGATGCATGGGAGATCTGCCCACAGGGTACATACCTCAGCAAGGTCTACCTGTAGGGTAAATGCAGTAACATCTGCACATAGGGTACATGGCATTGCAAGGTTTGCCAATGGGATACATCCTGCAGTCATAGCCAGTGTCTCCACCTAGACATTATTCCAGAGAGAGAAAGAGAAGTTTCTGCTTTACTTGTTGACTGGTGGAACACTGGTGAAGGAACTGCCTGTACCTTGTGGAGCAGATACCAGTCAACTCAAAGTGTTGGCACTTTATAGAGTAGCAAAGGCAAGGTTATCAGTACTGGCTATCAGATCTGAGATGACCAGTTACAATCAGTGGATGCTATGAGAAATGCTTCAGAAAACTGACAAAACCCAAATCAATCTTGGCTACTGGCTTAAGGAAGCAAGACGAACTGCTTGCAACAAAACATTTAGCTGTCAGTCTAGATCTGTCAGGGCTGGGTGGATCTTGATATGTGCTGATAAGGGTAAGGTTGAGTTCCTGGTAGACACAGGAGTGGCAAGAACCCTTTGGGGCCTCAAAATTTTTCAAACCCTCTGAGTGAGACCAGTGATATGGTCAGTGTATAAAGGACAGACACAAAGTATACTTGGCTGACATTGAAGACGAATGCATATTAGGATTGGACTACTTACTACCGAGGAAGTTTGTAATTAATTTTGATAAAATGACGTTTGGGAACAACAAAGGCCAAGTTCCGGTAACTGTTAAAAGAGAGGTTGAACTAATTAGGTGTCATCAAGCTGAAGTCAAAGTGACTGAAGGCGTTGATGATGGTGAAATGGAACCAAGTATAGATATTAAATCAGAGCAGGAGAAAGATCAATATTTGAAGCCAATAATTGATTTTCTAAAAGCAAGTGTTTTGTGCCCTGCTTGTGAGAAG